CGCACGCAGCAGCCTCTCCGGGCTCCGCTACCAGTTTAAAGGGTCTGGCTCCCTCTCACAAAGAAGTCGTGACCGCCCCTGCGGTCGCAGCAAAGCGCACCCTTTATGGCTTGGGCCGGCGTCGAGGACGTCCAAGGGGGTCCGTCCCAAGTCCTGCTACTCCGGCCTAGATGGCATACGGAGGAAATCCTATGCTCAATCCAATGCAGTGAAATTCACAAATAGTTATATATTATATGTTATCAGGTCGACGCTGGGTTTTGGATGGAGAAACATGCTGTGAAACTGCAGTTCATGTCAACATTAATCCGATATCAGCTGAAACATGCTCAAACGAGATGGTTTGGGTGGGACGTGGCCGGAGCGCCTGTTCCATGTGTCAACTTTCGTGACATCTTGAACACGTACAGTATGGCATGCGGCATGGGGCAACGTGGTGGTCTTCCTTGGTCCTTGCACTCCATCACCCCCTCTTTCTAAGGCGTAATGCTAAAAGCCAGCAAGTAAAGGAAACAACACTGGACTGCCGTATTCTAGTGTTTTGCAGCCCTACAATTTGCACCCTTAGCACAACAGTTATGATTTAAATGAGCTACATGCTCCACAGAATCCACTCCGACTCCCTAGTCGCATTGAATTGTAATATATAGATCTGGTTGGCACTGACTTCCAGCTTGGTGACAATGCGGACTACCGTATGCGCTGATGCAAGCATGTCACACTCGTGATTTCACAGAGTTTCACTGAGTTGCAGTACTTCCTTGATTCTCAAGAGTTTCTTCAACGTCAACAACCTCAAAATGTCCTTCCTTTTCCGTCGCTCCTCTCCCGCACCTCCCCACACCACCCGTAACCTTACTTTCGTGCCCAAGGGACGGCACACAGCCCACGTTCACACAAGTGCCACCCGGCCCTGCTCCGCTGCGGCGCTTGTTGGGCTGCCACTGGGGGCCCTGCTCCACCAGGGCCACTTTGGCGCCATAGCCTTCGCGGAGGGTCGTGAGGCGTGCGTGGTGGGCAACCAACAAACTCCCCGAAACGGCGACAACCCTGCAAATATATAATCTATATAAGTGACTCCCACTCCCACCCTGAAAATGCCTGAAAATAACTTCACTAAGGGAGGGTCTGTTGTTACGCCAATTAAGTGCTGGCAAACGACCATAAAGAAACAGTATTTATATGAACAACAAGAAGGCATCGAAACCACAAAATACTTGTCAGATGCTGTCGCAAATGTCCAACCTTCCTGACATAAGACATGCTGAAGCAAATTTCTTTTTTGCACCTCCAGGCGATATATAGCACACCCCTCTGATAACCTTGCCCCGTCGTGGTCAACAAACCTTTTTGGAGTGCAAAAGGTTGGTTCGCTTCACTTTCATCACATGTCAGCATCGTCTTCACCGTGCTCATTCGGATGTGTCGCTTGATGAATCCACGAGTAAAGCTGAGTGCCAGGAAAAAGTGCTGTGCCCAAAGCTTTCCCCACTGAGTAATGTAGACTCTTGATCAATGACCCTACAACCATTAAAAATATATATATATATAAATCTATTAATAAAACATCTACATTAAGCTCACCTGCTTTAAATATCTTGAAACTAGACAATTGACGTGTCCCTTTGATGGGCGCCCCTTTGATGCTCAAAGTTCAACTTCTCACCCTCATGAGGCAAGTCCTTCCCGTTCCGAGACTTGACCGCGCTCAGCTTTCTATGCCTACAGTTCCTACAAACTCCAAGCATGCCTCACAAAGACCTAGAAGGAACATAGGGAAAAGAAAGAGTAAACATATATAATATAAATAACATTGACTTAAGATAACTTAAGGTTGCGTGTCTCCCTCTTTCAACCACATACCCAACAAATCTACATCAGTCTTTTCATCATCCAAGAGCTTAAGCTGTTCCAACCCCAACGGGTGACCCGTGTCCTCCCGTGAGGTCACCCCGGTGGCTCGTGGCCACCGGTGGCGCCGAGCCACCGGCCGCCCGCTTGGCGAAGGCGCTTCCCCCGCTGCCGCCGCCGATGACCACGGCGTCGTAGGACATGGCGGTCCGGTCACGCCGCGCGGTTTGGGCGAGAGAAAGGCGAGATCGAAAGGAGATTTGGGTGACGAAAGGTTTAACAAACATGGTGACGAAAGCCTGACTGACGTGTAGTTTACGGTTAGATTTCCTTGAAGTGCTGTTGATATAAGTTAAAATATTCAAGTCTGCCATGGCGGTGAGTGATGTGCTCTTGTGTACTGTGTATCAAAACTGCTGCTGTTGACAGAACATGCGGCCGGGACGCATGCATAATTTTTATAGTATGGACAGTATGGATGAATTCTCAACCAAACAGTGCCAGGTGTAGAAACACCATCCCATCATTCCAAATGTCTCAGGTATTGTGAAGCCAAGGCAAGCATGCATTGCAAACCGCAAACCCTTGCAAACAACGGGAATGCCAACACTGTTCGAGTAACGTTTATAGGTTTCCACTTTCCCTAGTCAAACCAAAAAGCAATGACACATGCCGCATGCGGGCTGGCTTGCAGGTTGGCCGTCCTCCCCCCAACTCCAGTCTCCATCTACATGACACACACAGGGTCTATCGACACACGCGTGGGTCGCTTTCGCTTGGTGCCTCCTGCACACGCGTGGCCAACGGGGCATTCAAGCTAAAGCCATTGATGGTGCTGCTGCCATTCCTGAGAACTGGAGGTTTCCACGAAAATGAGTGGCACCTTCGACGAAAGTCACTCGGATACACGGTTTTATGATGGGTGATACACGTTCCATGGACCAAAAATATCATCTTTCTCTGCTGAGAGTACCAGGGGCTGATGATGGCTGATTGCGTGTTGGGAGCGAGCGAGTGGGCCTCAAGAGCGGAAACCTCGGCGACCTGCCTGAGATCTTCTGAACCTGGAGTATATGCATCACCCTGTTGGATCAGTGTGAATCATCTGTTTTTGTTGATATGATTCTAAGAGATCAGTCTGTATCTCCCAAAGATCACCGCACAATTCTTTGGTTCGAGGAGCAGGACATTTGGTGGCTGGTTCCCAAGATTTTTTGAAACAAAACCAACTGTCATGGTTCCTTCCTTCCACTCTGGCAGGGTTTCGAGCTAAGGACGGACGAACGAACCAAAGCCATCGGCTCCACTGACCCTCCGACCTGCGCATCCGACGGCACCGAGGCCCCGGACGAGAAGCGCGCTTGGACGCGCAGGATGGCGGTGACCTGGTGCCACGTTGAGAAGAAATGTTGAGATGAAATGGGAGTAAACACCGTGTGTTTGGATCAGACCAAATGAGACAAAAGTACAAATTGTTGCAATTACTTGCAGTACATCCATGCATACATCCATGAAACTACCTGGAAAGCCATTTGCATACAAGTTGTTTGGTCAAACGGGCCTTGAGCATGTTGTTCGGTCATTACGGCTGTGATTATTTGGAGCCACTTGTGTGAGAGTTGTTTATTTGAAGGCTTTGTTCAACAAAAGGTTGAAAACACATATACATACATATACGGTTTTGCTGTGGGTAGGCCTGCCATACCCTTTTGATTTGACAATCTTTTTGGGTCATTACAGTACTTGGACAAAACAAACTGAACGTTGTGGCTTTTTCCCATAATGACAATTTTTGGGCATTTGGATTTCCAGAGTAATCCATCGCCACGTTCAGAAATGGATGGGTTCTGTCAAATGATGTCATATATATCTGTAGGCACGCAAAACACCTGGAGCTTCTTCTGTCCGTCACTGATACATCACCAGCATTTGTGCTCGCCATGTTCAAAACTGATGTCCCACCTCCTTTAAGCTACATAAGCACAGGTTTTGATACGTAGGTGCTCATGTGGCGAAGCCAAAGCGTTCAACCAACAAACGTACAGAATGTCCAGTTGTTTCTTAAAGCCATCATTCACCCACACCCACCGCTACCGCCATTCCAAAAAGCCGTGACCCGGACCGGTCTGTGGCTAACTGTTCTCGGGATGGATTTTTCACTTTGCTACAAAACACATATTTCTTTCCATGGTCTAAGACTCAGCTATTATACAGTATATTAGTTACTGTTGAATTGGCAGTAATAAACCATGAATCCATAATAATCAGCTTTTTGGCCTGCCAGGATTGTTCAATATACGTTTAATTTAGCCAACATCCAGACCCCAACATTGATTTAAACCAAAAAACAACTTGTGTGAATCAATTATAAATCATAAACATTAGACAATAATGAGCTGTTTTTTCTCTCAGATCCCATTTTGCCTTCAGAATGCTTCCTCTCTTAATTGCGTCTCAGAAATCTCAAGCAAAATAAAAGCAAATGGCCTGGAAGTTTACAATTGAGATTACTATTGTTGACCTCAAAAAAAATCATAGGGGGAGGGGGGGTTCACTATTCCTACTTGAACAATACAGTATCATTTCTTTAAATTGCCACCGCTTGCTTGCAGTCACAACTGGTCACTACGCAATCGCGTTTCCGCTGGATGGAGGGTGTATCTTGAACTTGGGAGATGTTTGCCTGTCTGCGTTCGCCCTGGGCGTTCTGCTGTTTTGCGTATCTGCTCACTCATGCTCGCGCGTACTGATGCCTGCATGCCAGACCCTTCGGGGAGCTTCACCTCCTCGCCGGCACTGGACATGGCTGGACATGGAGGAAACACAAAAGAAAGCAATCTAGTTAGTAACACTGAGCATCTATAGAACACATATATTGTTTGGTTAGTTGTTTTTGCACAGTTTTTGCTGATGGTATCTTTTTCCGAGGGTGGTCTGCAAGTGTTGTCAGTTGCCCTTCCTGCTGGGGTCTTTATCTTTACACCCCTAGGCCAATGTTCACATCACCTCAGGGGAGAGGGGTACACCTTCCTACCAGCTGTCTTGGGCTGTTGAGGTTCCCCGCATCTTTCCCACCTACAAATTGACGCAGGATTCGGCTCCAAGCCACCCCCGACACTAAACCTCCACCAGTGATCTGCAGTATATGTAGCCCAGTACGCAGCGGTTTGAGATTGAACCCTCATGCTCATTTAAAAAAATAAACAAATACAAATTCCACAACCTCTTGTCTCTCGGAGTTGTACCCTACAAATCACCATAGTTGGCCCTCTATACCAGTGCAATCAGACCAAGACCAAGGCCGTGTCTCCTGGTAAAGCTCCATTGGCGGGCACCTGCGCCGCCGGCTTCTGCCGCTGAAAGAAACACCGCGTTGATCACATGCTGAACTCCAGGGGTTGGATGGATCCGGAAGCATGAGTTACATACAGCAAATACATTGAGTAACAGCAGTAAAGCATACATTGAGCGTCAGTTACTCAAATATGGATCCAGCATGGTTGAATCTATACAAATCTCGGGTCCACACCAATCCACCCAACTCAATTGTACTTTTCATGGTGCGAACAACCCGATCTCAGAGTAACTAGCTGCCAGCTGCTCCAAAGGCTTTTTGACCCCATTGGTGCATCCTTTGCACCTGACAGCCGGCCCTGCAACATCACAAACACATCCATAGCACTCCATAGCTACGCGCTTAAGCCTTGGCCACAGAAACGATCCATGGGACGGGCATATTACATTGAGGTGGTTTCAGGGCTCAATGCAGGCATAGATTCGTCCCCTGGAGTGTCTGGGACATGGCAATCATAGTGATCTTTGAGACCTACTGATGGATTGACAGCCTCATGTATCTCTAACTTTGCTGTGCGATCACCCTTCCTCCCTCATCGACTCGTGGTTGTTGGTGAGTATCTCCATCACTTCGTCTGGGGCAAAATACAAGCATTCACCCCAAGAGGACCTGCCACCAGTGACACTCAAAATCATTGGAAAAAGCCATCGCCCGAGCCACCCGACGAGCAATGTCTTTTGAACCATTCCGCGCATGTCCGCCGAGAGGAACTCCGTCTTGGGGCCCATGGCCTGCTTCACTTCCGCCATCACATCCTCGAGCGGCGGCCCAGCCCTCCGGAAACCGAAATGCCCCTGCCCTCTCGACATCCAAACATGGATCACCCAGCAGTTGTCCGTCAATTGAGGACAATTGCATCACCATGGCACCATGGTGTGGATTTGTATGCTTTGCCCTGATCACAAAGGAACCTTTCCATACACCGCGTAACCCGCCGGATTCCGAGCAAGACATCGGTTCCCTGTGTCGCCGCCGTTTTGACCCATTTCACTCATTGGAGACGGGAGCAAACGGGGAGACGTGAGGAGACGTCGTCCAAAACCCACTGTGCCAACAGACTTTTTCACGTTGAAGAAAGGGGACCAAGGGCACTGTGTCAGCATGGTGGCTGCTCCATGCAGGCACTGCAGTGTCCTACCAGTACCAAGAGGGGGCTCCTGCTTGTACTCCACTGTCATGCATTGACTCGCCAGGCGTAGCAGACGTCCCAGGCAGGTCCTGACGTGGCTTCTCTTCAAGAACATCTCAGGTGAGTTGTCACTTTTGCCTCTCATATATATAGTTATTGTCGTTGTCGTAGATTCTTGATTATAGATCTTATTGGAATGAAGTGTTCTAAAACTGGACCAAGCAGACAACTTCTCGTTGACTCCATTTTCTCCGCTCGGTTCCACCGATCTTCCTCACGTCTCGAACTCCGGACCGGCGACATAGAACGACCGGAGTTCGAAAGCAACGACGCGACGTTCGAGTTCCGGTGGCAGTCCCGAATGGGGCTTGGACTTCACATCCTCCGCTTTCACCCCAGAGGATGTACGTCGCCTGGCTGCACGGATTGGCACGGAGCACTGCATAGATTTGCCGGACTTGGCGGGTGGTGTGAGGTACGTACACATGGCATAGGGGGGTTCTTTAGTTTAGGGGATGCATGAAGTGTTCCTGGCCTCTCACATTCAGGTCACTATAAAACTGAGCCTGCTTGTCCACGGGCGCAATGGCTCCACGGGGAGACCCCCGTGCGGCTCCACGTCTCGGGCCCCGCCCCCCACGTCTACAGATGGATGAGGATGGATGTTCGACCTCGGATGAGCTTAGAGGTTGGGGTTGGATGGAGGTTGGATGAGGTCTATACAATGTGGGGATCCTGTTCTTTTTTTTGGGGGGGGTCTTGCTGGCCATTGGTCGATCGACATTTGTCTCTACATGTTGCGAGGACCAACCCTCAGGAACCCTATATGTTGTGAGGACCAAGCCTACATGTGTTTTGTGAGAACTCATGGAAACAATATGAAAGTAAATATGAACGTATCTTAAAACATATTGAACATATTTGCAAATTACCATGACATACCAAAACCATTAAAAAAACTTGGCTGTCTATAAAACCACTACTCCTGACCCCCTTTTCAAAATAGCATATTTTCATGCCAACGCATGCCCCGACCAGTCTGTCTATAAAATCAGGGACCCAACAACCCCCAAACCACATATATAAATCAAATTAAATCAACATATGTCCGGGGGATGATCCCCGTGATTTTATGATTCTATAGAGGATCATGTACCATACATCATGATGTTCATGTCCGAAAGGACCCAAGAATCCGCCGGTGCCAATGAACCACAATGTGCCTGGTGAGTTCATTAGCACCACTGGCCCCGAAAAAGGAAAACCAATGAAAACCACTGTTTTCACCAAGCAATCATCAACAGTACTCATGGGGTTCAGGTGAGGAGGGAGAAGCACTGCCACGCCACCCCGCCTGCATCGTCTCATCGGCTTGGGCCACCTGGGCGTCGAGCTCGCGTCTCATCTTGACTGCAAAAACCCATGGTGGCGGCAGTGGCGGTGGGAGTGGGAGTAGGAGTGCCAGTGGCAGCAGTTGTGGTTGTGGTAGTTGGTATATGTATTCTATGTATAGTATATATATATACTGGACTATGTGCCTGTGGGAATATCCATTGGGAAACCCACTCTCTAAACCATGAGGACTCCTTTGCCAAGTCGAGTCAAAGCAATTATGGGACCCCAATAGGCCCAAAAATCCCTAGAAGTACTCGGCGACCAGCCTCCGCACCAGATCGTTGCCCAGGTGATTCATGGTGATTCCCTCACTCACCCTCATTCTCTCATTTCCTCCACTTAGCTGCTCCATGCGTGCGGCTGCCCCCCCGGGCACCGCTCCTGTTTGCTCAACTTCTCGATGGCCGTCGCACCAGGCAAGGGCACACTCACCTGGGTTCTGGATTGCTTCCAGGCATCAGAGTTGGAAGGGAACCCTTCTGGAGGGATCGTGGAATCGTGGAAGGAGGCACCTCTCTGAAAAAGGAAACTATAACAAACTTGCAGTTGGTGTTTGCTTGTGCTGCCCTCGTTTCAGGTTCCAATCTATTTATCCACCTTCAGGTTCCATTGTGATGTTGATTTGTAAAGCGCACGAGTCGTGGCACAAAACCACAACAACAACCCTGAGAATTCACCTATGGCGGCATGTGGACCGACCATGTGGACCGACTGCAGGATGGTCATTGTTGGACCTTCGTTCGCCTCAGCCGGTGAAGCCCGCCGAATCCGACCCGCCCGATGTCAGGAGACCCGTCCGATTCACGAATCCCCAAGAGCAACGGACGCTAAGCCCTTCCAAGCCACACCTTTGGAGACTAGCTCTTTGGCAAGACCCGGATTCTCTGGATTGACCTGGCTTCTGAAGTCGTGGATGAATTGGCATACGTGTTTCATGAAACTGTCCCATGCTTCCTCCAAAGAACTCTGGCTTAGTGGCTTAACTTAGTCTGCGAATGTCTGAAAGAAAGAACCTGTAGCAATGCAGCAGCAATTCCCATACACCGGAAATCATTCCAGTCTGCTCACCAATGCTTGACGGCATGCCATGTCGAAACGCAAATGAAGAGGACAATTCTTTCACCAGCGCTCACTCCATCTCGACTGGCCAGTGATGCTCGAATGAGGCGACCACCTGGGAACCTGGCGTCATGGGACAATGCTCCAGCTCCCGCCGGGGGGATGACTCGGATGACGCACTATATATGGTATGCCATTATGCGCGTTAGACACTAATGATGAATGGAACCAAAAATCCAAAAAAGTCACTGAGAATCAATCGAATTCATGGTCTGGGCACGGATCGAAAGGGCATGTGCGGCACTCCCTGCGATCTGTGCACCGTTGAAGGAGATGGTCCACGCTCTGGGGCGCACCCGGAAGGTTTTGGTCCATGGTGGAAAAGCACGTCCGATCCATCCCCCCAAAGGGGCCCCGGGCGAGTATGTACATGCCATATATGCTTAATTAATTGGAGGCTAGTTTGATCCTATATATTGATCCTATTTACCACTCAAGCCGTGTGAACCCAAAGGACCAACCCAGCCATGCATCCCTTTTGTCATATTATATGGTTTCAAAGCTGTTTTTGAATCTTTTCAAAGCGCTTCGCGGCATGTATTCAGGATTTGGGGATATGTCACTGTATTATTAGTTTGCTGACACCAAAGCGGCCCTACTTGGCCCCACAGCGGTGAGTCAACAAGGGTTTGTATTGACCTGCACCTTTTTCGGGGGTTGACGTTGACCAGTGCCAAACTGGCCAAACTTGGCCGAACCTGGCCGCGCAAGCACGGGTGATTCGGCCCACCATCCTTCCGAACGGTTCTTGGGGAACTCCCTGCTCTGAACGGTTTGAACATCGAAAAATGGGAGTCGTTCCCTCCAACTCCCACTGGCTAGTGAATCAGATTCACACCGATCCTTCAGAGTGGCAGTGTGCCTGTCGGCTAGAGCTTCTCCCCGGCCTCTGCACCACTTTCTCCAGCTCTCGTCGTACAGTCGGAACCGTAAGGCCACAGCCCACCTAGCGATCCGTCGATTCCAATCGGAAAGGGATGGGTCAACGTCACCACACATGGTGTCTTCCGCCGTCTTCTGCCCCCCCAAATAACAACCTCTGACATGTCCGAAACAAATCAACTCCATTCAACTCCAATAAAATTGTTTGCACCTTAAAACGCCCAAAACCCTCACGAACACTTTCCCAGACAGAACGGGTTTCGCGGTCTGTCGCCCTCGGTCCCAGCCTCGATGCAAACCACCCGGAGGCCTGGGGTCTGACCAAACAAGGGGACGATGCCAGGTAGCAATATTATTATGGGTTTATGGTGTATATGTAACAATCTATATATATATATATATATGAGCGATCGCCCAAACCTATGGGCACATGTGTGGAACTCCATATATGTTGGTATCGATTTTGGGGGGGTCGCTATCTAGCTTTACAGTGCTTCGGATGCCTTTGTCATATTGCTTTTAGAGTTTATCTTGAAAACATAGCCAAAGTGAAGTGCACATGGATATGAGTAGTGGGAGAAAGAGAAAGAGAGAACAAGAGAAGAGAAGAGAAGAGAAGGGAAGGGAAGAGAAGGGAAGAGAAGGGAAGAGAAGGGAAGAGAAGGGAAGAGAAGGGAAGAGAAGAGAAGAGAAGAGCAGGGTGAATAGACGAAATGAAATCGCGTGATCCGTTTCCAAGAAGTCAACAGGCGATTACAAATTAGGATGACGGCAAAAATATTAATGGTGATGATATTTTTGCGCTGGAGGTGAACGATAAAGCCATTAAATTTATACAATAGTTTCTTATCGTCTGCACCGTCTGCGCCACCTGCGCCGCTTGCGCCGCTTGCGCCGCCTGCGCCGCCTGCGCCGCCTGCGCCACCTGCGCCGCTTGCGCCACCTGCGCCACTTGCGCCACCTGCGCTTTCTGCGCCGCTTGCGGTGCCTCTGACAGCCTTTCACACGTGACGCTCGGCGCGCGCTCGAGCGCCAGAGAACCAACGCTGCGGGCGCGCACTCGATCGTTGGACAGAACAACAACCCCCTCAAGCCTGACGCGTTGAAAAACGCAAGAAACTGGGGCGGAGGGATTGGGTCTCTGAGTTAGAGTACAATTGACAGCTGCAAGCAGCAGCCCAAGCTACTTCAACCTTTTCTACCGGCGCGCTGGTCTACCGGTGAGAACGGTGTAAGCCTTGCGCTTAAGCAGTCAATCCCACGTACCGACCAAGACCTTTCAGGTCACAGCGTTAGTAAAATCTAGTTCCTGATTCGAAAATGAAAATGTCCATTGCAAGGTTGGGAGTTCGGACCGCCAGTCTAAGGCATCAGAAAGAATTAGACGTTAAGGTGGTTCTGGTGCTTCCGGCCTGGGAGTTTCGAATGACACTCTTGAGTGCGGTTATCCTCCTTGGAAATGGCTGCAGTTTCCTGAAGAAGTGCCAGAAAAACGACATTGCACGATGGAGCGGATGGAGTGCATGGAGCAAATGGTGCGGATGAAGCGGATGGCGCGGATGGAGAGGATGGAGCGGATGAAGCGGATGGAGCGCATGGAGCAGATGGTGCGGATGAAGCGGATGGTGCGGATGGAGCGGATGGAGCGGATGGAGCGGATGGTGCGGATGGAGCGGATGGAGCGGATGGTGCGGATGGAGCGGATGGTGCGGATGGAGCGGTTGGAGCGAAAGACGCTGATCCCTCTCGCAATGGCTTCATGGTTCTCTTTGTCGGTTGGGCCTTAATATCTTAACCGGCTTAGAGACCAGCCCAATCGCTGCATCCAAGGACCCCAGATCCAAGAAGGGGCTCAGTCGGGCACGGCGGCTGTCAATTCCCTACAATCACCACTAAAGAGAACCAGTGGGGCTGTGACAAGCTGTGACCATCTACACAGTTATGTAATGTTTTGCTACTTGATAGGGACAGTGCCGAGAAGAGAGCTGTCAGCGCTCAGCTCAGCTTGTTATCAACATGTGCGATCATTGCGATCGTTGTAACTTGTCACCCTGCAACAGTGTGCATGATCATGCTGCATAACTAAGGGCCCTCGGTGAGACAAGGTGACAAAGAGGTTTTCCACCCAGCAATCCCCAGCCATTTCTTCAGTCTACGTGTTTGGGTTCCACCATGTTCCACCAAACATCCAGGGTCCACTGGTCCACCAACCTCCACATGGGGTTCCACCTCCGAGACTTTCACCGTGGAGGACGCCGTCCACTCGTTCCACGGGACTCTCCGTGACTTGTTCCACCGCTGTCGACGTCCGGGCACTCGAGCTGTCGACGTCCGGCCGGTTTGCCAGAGTGTTGATCCAGGCATCGTACCTGGCAGACAGTTCGGTCACGCAGGTTGAAACAAGAGAGTGGTTGCAGAACGAGTCGAGAGTCTCAACTTAAAAGCATTAAAAGGATTCAAAAGGTATCCTTTTAAAAACAGAAACTGATAAGCCTGTTGCATCACCAAGACAGGACCTCAAACAAACCGTCCGCGTGACCGTGGTCCTTAATTGGCGGTTCCCTCACCGAACCACGGCGGGGGCACCGAGTATTCTGCGCGCCACGGCGGGCGCGTGAAAAGCCCTGGGCTGGGTATGGATGTCCCTGGATGTCTCTGGTTGGGTCTGGGCTGGTGTACAAACATGTACAAACTGGATGCCAAATTAGCAAATTCAACTTCAAACCGGAACCCTCAGCTTCCACCTGGGCAACGCCAAGGGCACATGGTCGGGAACAGGCATTCAGCATTCAGAAAGGCCCTGTTGAAAGAATATGGGACTGCCTTTGAACTCTTCGAAGGGCCTCCAGGGCGCCCCTGTAGGGACTCGATCCACGCCGACACACGACAACTCAGCTCCCGCAGCGACGGGAGAAGCGCGCACCAGGTTGGTGCTCCACGCCAACAGGTGCTCCACGTGACGTCCATTCCTTCCCAGCACCCATTCTGGATTCGGTTTTTCGCGCGCAGGTGTGCCAACCTGTTGCTGCCCCACCGAAGTCAAAGCCCCCACCGAGTCACGACCAAGCCACCGAGTCCCCGCCGAACATCTGCACGTTGGGCCGAGCCACGGCCTGGTGAGGTGGAGGACGGGCCGCAGGACGGTGGAAAGGAATGTGGACATATGTAGTAACAAAAAACGCTTATTGTTTCTACTAGCTTCTTGTTACTACTAGTAAGGCACTTGTTACTACTAGGAAGAGGTGCGAAGAAGCGAAGAAGTTACTGGTAGCGATGCCCTTGTTACGTTCGTAGCTTCTTGTTACTAGTAATGCCAACGGAGCGTGCCGTTCGTAGCGTCCGAACGCTCCGAGTAGCGATGCCCTTTGCTCCGGGTCTAGGGTCCGTACTGAGCTGACAAGCAACTTGTTTAAAGATCTTTTTGACTGCCAGCCAGTTCACGGATTTCACTGATGTCTGTAAAATATTCGACACATGGATTTTGTGGAGCACATGTATTACAATTTGATCGAAAGGAGGGCGGTGTTGAGAATGGGAGTGTTGTCTTGGTTTGGGTGAGGCTCTTTTGAAAGGGTTTGTGGTGACGAGTCCCTTACCAGGCTGGTGGTTGTCTACAGTTACAATCTATAAAGGTGGTCATCCAGGAATAGGCACCATGGGACACCTGAGAAGCAGAAGCTTGTCCGTGAGCTGTTCCTGTAGTTTTCATTTTAGTATAATATGGGGCAATCCAAAAATTCCGACAATTGTCCAATTGTCCTATTGGTTTTGGGTTGCTGCACCATCATATTGCTCTATCCTGAGCAGGATGATTTTGTTGTGACTGACCAGCCGAACAAATGATTCATTCCGCCAATCTGTTTTAGTGGTCTCCAATGAATCATTCAAGTGTGCCGCACAGAGGCCACAACTGTTCCTGGAGAGGCACCTGCTACATGCATCGAATCATGCTTTCCTTGCACTCCTTGTGGGAGGTCCAGTCACATCTCAAGTCACATCTCACTGAAGTCGCCTCAAGTCTACACGCTCTTAGTTCTTCTGAAGCATGGGCTACGGGTCATCCAAATGGATCCAATCGATGTCAAAACCTCTAGACATTCTATATATGCGTCTAGAATACACTAATTTGTTATTCAATCTCCACATTTTGGATCTTTTGAACTTTTGAACCGAAGCAGCTTCTCAGCTCAAGTCATCGTTTCATCCTGCGATACCCACACGGCCACGCGGTGGCGAAGCATCGACTCGCCTTGCATTTCGGACAGCATGGCATCACCTGAGGGCCGCTTCAGGACAGAGGTTCCGCCCTCGTGGGGTCCTGGAAAAAAGAATGAAAAACACCAGCAAGTCTTCGAGTCTGCATCCTCCAACGCCTCGTGGTTTCTCGCAGGTTCTTCCCATGGCACGGAGGATCCGCCATGGGAAACGGAAGACTCCTTCGCCCCCACCGGCTCGCGCGCTCCACCCGTGGTGTCCGACGGCCGGGACTCCGCGCTCCGGCAACGCGATGCGACGTGGCATCTTCTGTGAGGCCCAAGTCGTTGGGCGCCTGGTGAGAGCTGGGTGAGGTGGATGGCACCCTGGTTCCGCTGCGTATGGTGGTCAACTGCGTTTGAGAGAACCGAAAAGCACTTAGTTGATGGTGTTGGTGTCGCCAGATCTTTGGTGTTGGTCCAAGAACAGACCGTCTGACGAACAGCCGGAGTGTCGACTTCCGCAGTGTCCTTCTTGAATGACATCGTCAGTGACATCGTCATGGTTCCGAGGTCGTCATGTTTCGTCGGGCGATGTTCGACCGAAAACCTCAGGGGTCCCATACTGATCAGCCCTCAACGGACCACAGAAGCTGAGAAAATTGGATGTGTCCTACTATATTATCTATATAAGTACATTCTACATAGGCCTACCAAAACGATTAAAGGGTGTCCAATGCCTTCAATACTGCAGTTTGATGAACAGTTCATCCTCCTTCGAATGGCCTTGGTACATACCAGGTAGCTTTCAAGACCTTTTTCATGATCAATCAACCTTTACATGTGGCATATACGGGCATTGATCCGAGCGGCTCTTGCTGTTCAGCCTCAAAAACACCCTCACCCCGGCAGTGGTTTGCCACTCACCAAGTCTTCCGACGGTTTGCACCGCGCGCCTTCCACACGTCCGGGCAGCATGGCTTGGAACACTGCAGCCAGCGCACGGCGCCGTGCACCTCTGCACCGTGGCCGACGACTCGCTCCGCGGCCGAGTCGAAGCGGTATGGGCGGTGCGTTGGTTGAGCCGCGGGAAAACACGGCAGGATGGGTGGGTGGTGTGAAGAGGATCATGGGGTGTTTCTATGTGTTTCTTGTCATCTGTCTTCTGCAAAGGATGGGAGGGTTTGTAATAGTCTGTGTGTTTGTATCCGTTGGTAAAATAAAGGGTTTGGTGGGAGGTCTTTGCAAACCCGTAGACCTGGATGTTGCAGGGTGCTGGGTTGTTTTTGCGGTTGTACCCTTGTACCCAACATGGAAAAAAAACACACTCGTCTTCGAGCAGAGTTGCTTGACCAGCGCGCTCTCAGTGCCAGCCCACACACTAAAGTCTTCCATAGTTGTCATGCCCGTTTTCGAGTACCTCTGCCCCGCCTCAAGCACACGCTCTGCGGACATGCCAGAGGTAATCCTGCGGATGCATTCGACTGAGACTGACGAGCCAGTCCTCCCAAGTGGTGAAGATTCATTGAAAGATTGCAACCCCAAATCATTCATTCTGAATGACTATTGAATTGTAAGCATGTGGTGAGGGGGCCTGTAGACCACCTGAATTGGGTGGTGCTTTTGAGCCAAGGTAGGGCTCAATGTTTCACACCCTCCCAATTCTGTCGATGTTTCCTGTTTCCCTTCATGAATATTCTGAAGGGTCTACCCCGTTCTTGAGAAAACCTCACCTGTGGCAATAGTAAAGGACAACGTTTCTGCCGACAAGGTTCATTAGAAAATGGATCAAACTGCGGTTTCCTCATTGACTATAGTGGTCCCCCAAGTAGATAGATGCGGTTCCGGTTTCCAGCACATTTTTAGTGAAGATCTACTTTTCTATTATACAATTGGTACCCCCCCAAAACCCACATGTTCAACCCTATACATACTTCAAGAACCCTAAAGTTTACGCTTCTTACTCTGTTCCAACATGACATTTGCGGTCTACAGCGGATCGGATTAAGACGTCCATTTTGCGTGGCAGGTACAGCACGGTCAGATTTCCACACCCGTTTAAATTTATAATACTTATAAGGCTTTCAGGTGTGGAAATCTGACCGCAACTTAGGTATCGACATGTTACACGTAGGATTCAAAGGGGGAAGGGTTTGTTATGTTTTAGAAGTCAAGAAGCGCAACTTTTGGCACCCCAGCGTATAGATACAAACGATACAAACAAACAATATATTATATACACTATTATTTACGTATACTTGGGTTTTGGGCTTTGAAGTGGAAAGTCCAGTCTCAAGTTTCAAGCC